TTGTTTGGTCCTTCAGATTTCATTTGCTTTTCAATTTTTAGTAGGTTAACCAATGAATTTTTTAATTATCCGCCCAAAACAAACTCACCCCCCAAAACGTGAATGTTGCCAAGTCAGTCAGCAGCCATTTTTCAAATGACACCCCCCCCAATTTATCTGGCTCTTGGGACAATTTCTCAATGGCCTTTTTTTCTCTGCTTTGCCCTGGGATGGGAGCTCTTGAATATAGGGACTTCATTCTGGGCCACACAATATCCTCTTTTTAAAACAAACAGTTAGGGGTACTTTTTGTGCGCCTCGTCCTGGCGGAGAATTTCCCTTGGGCAGTGCACCCTGCAAGGCAATCAGTCGTTCCGGCCCAGCGCCCCCTTCCGGCTCTGCGCGAAGAGCGAAAACGCATGTTCATGGTCGAGTTCGGGCTGTCCGTTCTTGACACGGATTTCGTGTTCTCGCGCTTGAACGGCGGGAACAAGACACAAGAACACTGTTCTCGGAACAGGTTCACATGCACACACCACCTCCTCGTCAGGATTTCACACGAACACATGGAAAAGCTCGTGAAATTTGAATTTTGAACAGCTCCGAAAAGTACTAATATGGCTTTACAAAGCCGACGACAATGGAAAGTTTTGACAGAAATGATTTTTTTTAAATGGAAAAGAAGTTAGCCCAGTTATCCAACATTAACTACCGAACGACCGACCCACGAACAACAAATTGAGCTGTTCGTGAACAAACGAGAACAAGCCGCCCGAACTCAGCCAATGATTCAGAAATGGGCGCTGGCTAATGCCAGACCGCTGTTTTTCCATAGCGCCCTCATCGGGAAATGACGACTTATTAAGGTTCGTCTGCTACAGTTACTTCAACACACTTGATTTTCAGTAAGCTTTTGTTTCTTCCTTGGGTTTTCACCTACCTTTCCTTCAATGACACAACAACGTCTGGAACGCTTTGGCTCGTCTAAAGGTAACACGGAGAAAGTAAATGTTGTGTCTGTCGTGCTTTACAGTATCGCATGGAAGTTCAAAGTCACAGTGGTATTGCGTAACGTTTCATTTTCATATTTTTTTCCTTAGCAACGGAAAAATTTGACAGCGCCCCCCGAGTACTTGTATGTAAGAGGCTAAGACTGTGAGTTGTCAGTTGTAAGGGAAGCCAGTATTTTGCAGCTTTTTCTTGCTTTGAATCATAAGTTCTAATCATCAAAGATAATAATAATTAATAATCAGCTAGTATTCCTAATGTGTTATTCCCCCTTGTCACGTAGAAATGAGAAACATTTACTGATTTTGTCTTCTGTTTTGATTCATCACACTTTAATGTACATTACTCACTGTTTTATAATGGGTGGTAGACATTTAAAGTTTGCTGAAATTCACCTTTCATTGTAGTATTGCTGCATAATGTTCTTATTTAGAACTTTTGTTTGGGGTTGACAGCATACAGTTCAAGCTCCTCGTGTGAAAAACAATTTTGTTTTGAGCAAAAACCTCCAAAAACGGATTAAAATTGTGGCTGAGTCAAAATTGAAGTTTTGATTTGAAGCAGCCCTTAAGATTCAGTGAATTGATGACAGGTTCTATAATCAGTGTAGGTAACATGTATCTGCTTGCTGTGTTCATCCCTATCTCCTCACTTTGTCGATAACCTGAAACTTTCTTTGTACTGGCCTTTTAAAACTTCACCAGAGACTTTCTTTCAGCAAGAATCATCTCTTTTATTCTGTTGAAAAGAAAAGGAAAAAGAGCAATTGATTCTTGCCACCCAGGAGCAAACCGTTAATGCTACTAGCTACCACAAAACTGGCTTCCAGTGTATCTCCCTTTTCTTCCATCCCTCCTCCAGTCAGCACTAAATGCCTCCAATTCACCCCCCTTTATAAATCCCACATTTTCAAAAGGGAGAAGGGAACAGTGAAGAACCTCAAATGTCCTGCTTGCAAAACTGCAATTAGGCTGGGTCATGTGTGTCAGAATCAAGTGGGCTGTTTGTCCATTTAGTTGAATCTATTCTCAGAGTGTTTTTTGGTGTTTATTTTGGTCAGGTTTTTATATTAATTGATTTAGAAGACTCTTTGTAAGGCAATGGATTTTATGCAGTTGGTGATTAATTCTTCAATAATGGTGAATGTTGTCAGGGAACATACATTTTCCCTGGGAAGCTTGCAACAGGCCTTTTGTGTAATATTTAAAAGAAAAGGTTGTGGATGAAAATGCCCTGGCAAAATGAAGTTAAAAAGTTAGATAGGTCAATTCTGTGGTGACAGCCAAAAACTTGTTCATAACAGTATTACCACAGTTCTTTGTAAAAAATTCTTTAGAAAAGAAGTCTGAACTTTATTTAGTGTCATTTACCAGTTTTAACACTTTACTCAAGAATCACTTAGGATTTT